AGAGAGAGAGAGAGAGAGAGAGAGAGAGAGAGAGAGAGAGAGAGAGAGAGAGAGAGAGAGAGAGAGAGAGAGGGCGGCAGGAAGGGGAGGAAGAAGAAAAAGAAGAGGAGGAGGAGAAGAAGAAGATGGACAAGGAGCAGAAGAAGAAGAAGAAGAAGAAGAAGAAGAAGAAGAAGAAGAAGGAGAAGAAGAAGAAGAAGAAGAAGAAGAAGAAGAAGAAGAAAAGAGGAGGATGCGAAGAAGAAGAAGAAAGAAAACGAAAAAGAAGAAGAACAAGAAGAAGAAAGAAGAAGAACGAGGAGGAGGGGGAAGAAGAAGAAGAAGACGAAGAAGAAAGAAGAAGAAAGAAAAACGAAAAATATGAAAGAAGAAGAAGAAGAAGAAGAAGAAGAAGAAGAAGAAGAAGAAGGAAGAACGAAAAATATGAAAGAAGAAGAAGAAGAAGAAGAAGAAGAAGAAGAAGAAGAAGAAGAAGAAGAAGAAGAAGAAGAAGAAGAAGAAGAAGAAGAAAAAGAAGCAGGAGGGGCAGCAGCAGCAGCAGCAGCAGAAGAAGAAAAGTGAAGAAAAATGAAGAAGAAGAATGAAGAAGAAGAAGAAGAAGAAGAAGAAGAAGAAGAAGAAGAAGAAGAAGAAGAAGAAGAAGAAGAAGAAGAATTGTGTTACCTCCGAGCATTTCCTACTATGCACACACCTCATCTTGGAATTTTATGGAATTATTATTGGAATATTTTTCAATATATACAAATGTCGAGGAGCCAAACAACACGAATGGGCCCGTGATTCACATTTAGTATCATTCCAGCCTCCGTTCACAGTTTCCATAGTTCTGAAGCACGTCCAGCATGGGATCCGAAGTTCGGCAGATCCATTGCTTATTTACCCTTGAAGCCTTGAACACAGAAGATAGCTCTGTTCCAATCCGGTCAACCCCAACCCCAGTCCCGTCCCGATCGGCATTCCACAGGAGACACAGAGCGCCAAGAGTCCCACGGCTGTCGTCGCATGATGAATGCCAGGTCTGTAAAGGATCTGCTACGATGGAGCGCACAAGAATCGTCGAGCAGTGGCCGAAGTCCCAACACAACAGCAGACCAATGGCTGTAGTTGCGACCAAGCCGGTCCCATGAGATTCCACAACGACGAAAAAGGATCAAATCCCACAACTGCTCAGTACCCAGTCCACGATCCCACGCCGAGCGACCAAAAAAAAAAAAAAAAAAAAAAAAAAAAAAAAAAAAAGCGACCAAAAAAAAAAAAAAAAAAAAAGGGAACGACGGCCTCTACACAAAGCATGCACACAAAACAACGGTCGACCCGATATGCAGTGCCAAAAAAAGAGCAAAAAAAAAAAATAAAAAAAAAATGGAGAAACAAAAGGAACGAAAAAAAAACGGAGCACAAAACGACGGTTGGGCCGATATGCAGCGCGCAAAAAAGAGAAACAAAACGAAAGAAAGAAAAGAGAAAAAGAGAAACAAAAAGAAAGAAAAATAAAAGAGGCACAAAACGACAGTCGGCCTGACACTAGCATATCAAAGGGGTCTCCTCCGAAATGTACATCTGCATCGACACCCGCCGTCTGCCCCACCCCGAGAACGTGCTCTTACGTTTAATGGCACGCTCTTAACAATTCGGTATGCGCGCCGCTCCGCACACCCCCCGGCCATCGATCACCTTCATCTGCCGGCCCGCATCGAAACTTTGACCCGAATTCGGCGCGCAGCGAACCGTCGACCTCCCCCCGCGGTCGATGCTGAGTGAGGAGGTGCTTGGAATGGGTTAGTGAAGAGGTGCTTGGAGTGACTCGGAGGGTAGGTGCTTGGAGTGGCTCGGTCAGTAGGTGCTTGGAGGAGCTCGGAGGGTAGGTGCTTGAAGTGCCTCGGTCGGTACAGGTGCTTGGAGTGGCTTGGTCGGTATAGGTGCTTGGAGTG